GGAAACAGGGACATTGATTTTCTGTGACTGCCAGTGAATTCTTGGCATAGGTGGTGACCCACCACGTGTATTTGTTCTCAGGTCATTCTAAAGGTCAGGATTCTGAAACCATTTCATCAGGCTGAAAACAAAGTGTTGGTGTAGCCACATTTCAGTGGGAAGCTCTGGGCAGAGTCCAATTTCTTACCTCTTCCAGCCTCTCAAGGTGCACTTGGGCATTGCTTAACCCTCTGGGTAGTCTAAGCACCTGTCCAAGTCAGGATTCTTTGTTTTGTTTTGTTTTGTGTTTTGGTTTTTTTTTGTTTTTGAGACAGGGTTTCTCTGTAGCTTTGGATCCTGTCCTGGAACTAGCTCTTGTAGACCAGAGATCACCTGCCTTTGCCTCCTGAGTGCTGAGATTAAATGTGTACGCCAACACCGGGATTCTTGGTCTCACATACAGAGTTCATCTCACAGTGTAGGACCACAGGGATCGTGACTCTACCCAGCCGGCCACATCATGACTCATGTGTTCCTGTGTCCACTGATGTCACCAGGAAAGAGACATACAAACACAAGTACAAATGTGAGAAATTGCCCACCACATATAAAAGGACGAAAATGTGGAAGAGAAACTTGAGTTTAATTTAAAGAGATTAGGGATGACATGGGGGAAAAAAGGAAAGAAAAATGGTTTCGATGAGTGAGTGTGGGGTGGAGAGCTAAGGTCTAAGAGGACCTCTTAGTTCCTGTGGGTGTGTGTCTAGAGAGCAAACTGTGATGGGCAAGCATAGGAAAAGGGAGAAGATTGTGGGGCTCTGGGGAAACATTCTGAGAACTGGAATGTTAAATCTGTTATCGATTCTTAAACGCAGTAGAAAAGTAGAGTGTAGTCTTTACCCCTCCAAAGCACTGCGTGTACCAGTGGCTGCCATCTCAGTATCGTGACTGAAGCCAGAAAGTTCTTCCTGTGCCATTCAAACCAATAGGTCAAAACTAAGTACAACTAGCAGAAATCCAGAAACATCGAGGTACAGAGAAGATTCCAGGCCAAGGTTTGATGCCCAATATTGGTTATGGGAAGGACAAGAAGACAGCACTGCCCAGTGGTTTTTGGAAGTCCTGGTCTGGACGTGCCCCTGATAAACAGCAAGTCTCCCTGTGCTGAGATCATTCAGTGTTGCCTCCAAGAATTGCAAACACCCTCATGGAGAGAGCAGTGTAACTGGCCAGCAAAGTCACCCAAGCCCAAAGCAGGTTGCACAGCACAGAAAATGGACCAACAATTCCCATACACATCTTATTTATACTGAAATAAAACCATAAGTACTCAAGGAAGAGGGAGTTTAGCCTCCATGTTGGCTTAACTACAATGACCTGCCTAAAAATAAATAAAAGCTATTTCATGGGTAAGGACCAAAGACAAGTACAGACCAGAAGTAGGAAGCATAGATAGTGGGAATGGCCTGAGTCTTTAGAAACCTCAGATCTCATCCCCAGTGACTGCTTCCTCCAGCCATGCCACACGTTCTAGCTACCCAAATAGGGCTGCCACCTGGGGACCATCCAGGCCTACGGGGACCATTCTCATCCAAACCACTCCTCTGGTTATGGAGTTTCATTCCAGCCTAGATAAACTAGGCTAATTAAATAATCTAACATACTCAAGCAGTCACACTTTAAAAAGTAAATATAATATATTTTATTTGGCTTAATTTATCTCAAAATTATTTTCAGCATATATAATCAGTATAAAATACAATCTGTGTTTATATCTCTAAACTTTATTGTTTTGTACTGGAGCACCGTCTCCTGACTCTAAACTCTTCGACATACTTCATGCATGCGCACATACGCATGTCATTCCAAGCACACAACTTTTTCTGGCAATTGAGTACCTGCTAATAAAAGTACAAAGTTACGAGTTTACTTCTTTGGTCACCCTGCCCACAAGTCAAGTGCTCAGTAACGTGGCTGCTCTGGATGGTGTCACCCTACAGTGCTCTCAGTACGGTCACATCAATATTCATTAAAAGCACATCGATTTCCATCTCATTTTTCACTGAGAATAAGAAATGATTAATATTCCCTATCCATCTTTTCTATATTCTAAATCTTTTCTATACTTTAATTTCTACGGTTTTCTACTTCCATTGCAGGACAAGCCTATCATTTGACTCACATGTCCTAGAGTTTTCTGTAGTTGATGTCACCAAGCCAGGAATTACAGTCTTTTCCTGAATTGACTGCTGTGTCCGCATATTTCCCAACCTCTGCCCCCTCTCTCTATAATCACAAACAGTCCTTTGTAATCTGCACACTCTATCTTCTCTGGGTACCTTCACGTCTGTTCGGCTGCAGTAACCAAGGAGATCTGACATCCTACTTTATATACGAGGAAATATCTATCCACCAAGAGAGTCTGGTTTTGCCCCAGTCACATAGCACGAAGGCTGAATTCAAGCTCAAATTTCTGCTCAGTGCCTGTTCCACTGCTGTGAGAGAAGAGGAGACTCAGGGCCCACTTCTCATCTGTCCAGTTAAATTCTCAAGACTTTGAATCATCTCTAGTATTCACTCAGATTTCTTGAAATAAACCGGGAAACTCCTATTTCCTGGCTTATTTGTACCTAATGTGTATAAAATATTGAAAATACTAATTTAAACGCTATTGAGTTCATCTAGATGACTGTCTTGCAGTGAGCTGGCCAGGAGGACCGCATCTCCTTATTTCCGTATACGTAGACCCATGAAATGAGTGGGAAAAGAGCGATCGCAACAGCAATAGCCAAGCGCATTCTTCCACCAACTGGATTCCTATAAAAACAAAAAGTATTAAAATGTCCAAGATAACAAATTGCCTTGGAAATATGCATGAAGTTGAATTACATTTTATTAGTTTCCCTTTATTGAAACTAATATTTTGTACAAAATCTTTATATACTTAATCTTGATACATGTTGCAAATGCCTTTTCCCACTCTGTATTTGAGGAATATTGATTAATTAGAGTATACTGAAATGAATCTTTCCCTTTTAATTTTTGTCCCCTTGTAAGAAATCTTTCCCTCCCTGAGGCTTTGCTTGCTTGCGGCAGGGTCTTAATGCAGAGCCCTTGCTGGCCTTATATTTGTTATGTAGCTCAGGCTGGCCTTGAACTCATAGCAATCTTCCTGCCTCGTTCTCTGAGTGTTCATGTACGATGTAGCTAGCACCTGCCCAGCTTTTCCAGGTGAAGACACTGTTGCTTTCTCTAGAAGTTTTGTTGTTTGTAATTTTAAATTAGATCGATAATCCACCTGGAAATGATTTTTACAGTTTTTTTCCATAACAATAAAATCTTTAAAAATAGATTTCTGCCCTCTGTACTTATGAGTGACATTACTATAATTCTATTTTTTTAAATGTTTTTGGTAATTTTGTTGTAGAGGTTTGTTTCCTCACCACATGCGTTGGAAAGTGGCCCCTCCTTCCTGCTTATGAGGCATTTGCTAATGGTCAGCACTGTCCTTCCTGTATGTCAGTTTTCTTCAGCTGTGCCATCCAGGTCTAGAGTTGTGTTGTAGGGAAAATCAAAAAATAATAATAAAAACCTACTTAAAAAGACTGAAGAGTGATAAACTAAACTTCCAAGACATTAGGAAGATCCAGCTGAGTGAGGAGGGGCTCATGGTCCCCTACCCCCACAACAAACTAGGGAATTTACGGTTGTACTGGGAGGGAGAGTCGGCTTTAAGGGTGTGGTCCCTGGTAGGTTGGCCATGTTCCAGTGGATGGCCACAGTCCCGGTGATGCAGGCCTGTGATCCCAGCTACTCAGGAGACTAAGGCAGGAAGATTGGAAATATTAGACCAGCCTGATAGTGAGTTCAAGGCCAGACTGGGCAACTGAGACCTTGCCTCAACATAAAAAAAAAAAATAAATCTGGGGATATGGCTCAGTGGTTGAACAAATGCCTTAGCATGCACAAGCCCTATATTCAGTCTCCGGTACCTGAACAATAAATGAATAAATTTTATAAATCAAGTCTAGAATAGGAATTCCCTTAAATGCCTTACAATATTGTTCATAACCTCTTTAAGTCAACTGAATGTTTTCATGGATTTGTTGACTTCATCTAGGATTTTAAGTACAATGCACAAAGTTGTTTGCAATGCTATCTGAGGACTTGATTCATTAGCTGTGTTGTGTGTTCTCATTTACCCCAATGTTTCTTTTATTCATGCCTCCTCAGGATCCTGCTCTTGTTTGTATATGTAAAATAAATATGTATTTATTTTAGGTCTTGCCAGGACTTAATTCATGTGATAATTTTAGAGAGTCCTTATTTGGTCTTATTGGTTCTCTTACCCCAGTTTTTCATTTCATTGGTTTTTGCTCTAATGCTTATTTCTTGTTTTGGAGGGTGTTTAATTTGATGTTCCTCTAACCTTGAAGCCTAGCTCGTTTATCCCAGGCTCCTCACCCCTTCATATCAAATATGTACTTGAGTCCAGAATTTACATCTGAGAGTAGTTTTAAACTGCATTTCATAAATGTTAGAATTACCCTTTAAGTTCTAGGTGTTTCTGACTTCCATTGTGCCTTCTTTTTTTGGCCCAAATATATTTGGAAGCAAATATCCTAATTTCTAAATGTACAGCAATTGCCTAATTATATTGTTGTTAATGGTTTCTATGTCAATTACCCTATGCTCAGAGACTATACTTTGTAAGATACAAGTTCTTTGAATTAAGTAGGGGGTATTTTATGGCTGAGCCTATAGTGGCTTTGAAATAATTAATGTGCATGTGAAAAGAAAGTGGATTATGCCAGCTGTGTGCATGTGCTTGCGTGCATGTATGTGTGCCCGAGGTTGACATTGACTGTCTTATCACTCACTGTCTACAGCTGTGCTAAGATTTATTTTTATTTTGCATGTATAAGTATTTGCCTACAGAGCATCACATGTGTACCTGGTGTCCCTGGAGGCCAAAAGCGTATTGGATCCCCCAGGACTGGAGCTATGGTCTGTTGTGAGACATCATGAGGGTGCTGGGCACTGAACACAGGGCTTCTCTAAGAGCAGCAGGTGCTCCTAGCTGCTGAGGCATCATGCCAGCCTCACTGTCCACCCCTTTTGGAGGCAGGGCCTCTTACAGAACTCAGAGCTCACAGATTGGCTAGGCTGGCTGGCCAGCAAACCCCTAGGACCCATCAATCTCCAGTCTCTTAAGCACTGGGGTTACATGTGTGCACAGATCTACCTGGTTTAACATGGGAATCTGAACTCAGGTCCTCAGACTTTCACTGCAAGTGCTGTCAGCTGACCGGTTGTACCACGTTGGGCTGCCATTTGTCAGGGACCAGCCAAAATTCCTTCCCGCTACTATCTGATATGTTTCTCCATTTTGTTTTCTCCAATATTTTCATTCACATCTTCAGATTCTTTACTATATTTCTAATCCCACGCCTTTACCCTGGCGAGAGGTATTTTTGTCGAGGCTGGTCCTTGACAAAGTGCTTTAACAACAACTGAGCCATCCTCTTTCCCCAGCCCCAGATTCTTTCATCCATAATCATGAGTCCTAGAGTGTTCATGGGGTCTAGTTTCTTACTATGTAAGTAAAACCTTCTGTATCTACACTGCCTTTGTTTGTTTGCATTAATGGATAGGAGAAGAGTGCTAATGTCTCACAAAGTAATTGTGAAATTTTTTTTTTAAACTAGCAACATTATTGTGGAGGCCCGAAGACGGTACCAGATCCCCTGGGACTGGGCCAACAGGTAGCCAGCTATGAGCTATGCTGTGGGTGTTGGAAATTGAACTCAGGTCCTCTGGGAAAGCAGCCAGTGATCTTAACCCCTGAGCTATCTCTCCCATCCTTGAGCCCTTGATTTTTAACTAATGGGTTGAACTTACTTAGCTGAGCTGTGACACAGTGCCATCCAGGCTGTGATGATCACCAGGCCAGACAGCTCTCTGAAAAACATCATGTTTCACATTATGAAGTGACTGCCGCTCCCCTGCTGCATGCCACTAGGAGTGGTACAGCCCTGAAAACAGCCTGGGGGTCATTTGTCATTAGTTTTTGAGCTTTTAAAGATGTCAGTGCTTTGCAGGGGCTCAAGCCAATAAAAACTCTAAGCAGACTGAGAAAGCTGGGGAAGATTTCAGGGAGAATAAGGGCTTGTAGTGTTAATCAGACTAGTGTTGAGGGGACCGTGTTCATGGAGTTGTGTGTCAGGTGGGTGTGCCTCTTGCATTGGCTGAATAAGCATATTGTCACTGCCACTGAAGGCCCCACTTTGAGTCTACCCTGATTCTTGGGCTTCACACTGGAGATGACAATCCATTTAGTATAAATCCCCATCTGCAGACCCAACCTGGCTACCTCTTCAGTTTACACAGGCTAGGGTCCAGAACAAACCACACCTTATCAGAGACACCTAACATTCAAGGCTCTGGAGCATGGTGCCAGCAGACACCAGCAGCGGGAAGAAAGTGAGTGAAGGTCTCTTAGGAAGACCGGGAGCCAAGCAAAGGAAGGTCAGAATAAGTGGTTCTGACCAAGGGGGAGGATACGTGATACACCAAACAAGGCTGGCAGAGGTTGACTCGGACTACTGACTCCTGAGGTGGCTGATTGCACTTGCACATTAGACTCTGACCTAAGAATGACTCAGGATGTCACCAGTTCGTCAGACTGGAACATTACTATACTGTGCCTTTACTAGTTGTGTGTGTGTGTGTGTGTGTGTGTGTGTGTGTGTGTGTGTGTGTGT